CTATCTTGCTAAATTAGGCAATGGTTTTGGCGACTAACCTTTGTCTCCAAATTTGGAGAGAAACCACCAAAAGTCACCCAAATTGGTAACATTTTGGTCGAGTTCCTGTATAACTGTAGCATGTGTCATAACTGAATAAATGTAACTGATCCTATACGCAGCTGTGAGCATATCTGGGCCTTATATGCCTTCCAGTAATTCTGAGAAGTGGAAGGTGCTAGAAATCTCTTGGCAGATGGGAGAAAACTTGATAAGACTAGGCACATCATCAATTTCTGTGTAGTAGTTTAGTTCAGCATTTAATTCGGAGTATTCAGATATCTCCATTTTAGCTTTGCTCTTTAGATGTCCTTTGCATTCCGTTGTATTTAACTGTGTTGAGAGGTCTTTCCTACGAAGCCTTTGTTATACACCTGGATGACATCGTCGGGAAGAATTTGAAGAAATTTAGAAAATATTAGGGGTGCTTCAGAAATTAAAGGAAGCCCATCTAAAATTTTAAGTTCCACAAAATGTAAATTGTTCAGACAGGAAGTGTATTATGCGAGACATTTCACCTCTGCCAAAAATGTATGTACGGATCCACGCAAAACCCCCTTCATAAACTGAGAGAGCAAGCAAAAGTTCTTGTGGCCGAAAGAATGTGAGGATGCATTTAACAAGCTGAGGGAAGCTTTAACACCTGACGTATCCTCAGCTCGACAAATCATTTATAATTGACACAAATACCAGCAATGAGAGTGTCCGTGCTGTTTTGTCCCGAGAAATATACAGTCAAGAATGTGTCGTAACATACTACAGCAAGTGCCTGTCTAAACCAGAATGGAATTACTTTGTCATCAGGAATGAGTTCTTCACCATAATTAAAACTCTAAAGCATTTTCTTTCTCTATGGCAGAAAATTCCTTCTCCACACAGATCATGTATCATTGACCTGGCTTTTAAATTTCAAGGTGGGGAACTTTCAAACTTTAAGACCAGATAGCCAGATGGGTACAGAGACTCTAGGAATATGACATCACTCTCCATCATCGGAAGCGATCACATGAAAACGCTGATGCCCTCTCCAGAAGACCCTGCCCAGAAAGCTGCCGATATTATTCCAGGGTTGAAGCAAAATATGAGCGGTTTAATCCAGTCGTATCGTATGACCCAGACCCACGGAGTGACAAAAAAGTTAGGAAAGAGTAGTTGGAAGACGTGACATTAAACCCACAATTGACTTAATACTCAGACAGAAAGCGTACTTGGCAGGACATTTTGAAATACCATCTTGTACCGGAAGTTTGAATCAGATGATGGAAAACCATTCCAATGGCAGTTCATACTTCCAAGCTCTCGGATGCCAGGCATCCTTAAAGAATTACATAGCAGTCCAACAGAAGGCCACTTTGGAATAATGAAAACTTTGCATGGAGTTTAAGAGTGCTTCTACTGGGCAGACATGCAAAAGTGGTTCCAATCATGTGATCTTAGTGCGGGTCGGAAAGGTCAAAAGTGCAGCCAGTGGTAGCTGCAAGGTCAAAATATAGGAGTGCCATTTGAGTGCATCACCTTTGATATCTTAGGACCATTGCTGATGACAACAAATACATCCTCGTTGTCAGTTATTACTTCACCAAAAGGCCTGAAGCATATCCTATCCCTGATCAACAGGCTGTCATAGTTGCAGAAGTAATGATAAAATACTGGATTTTCAGGTATGGAGAGCATCTTCAGTTGCATTTTCAATCAAGAAAGGAATTTTATTTCAGCTGTAATTAAACAACTCTGCAAACTATTTGGCACTGCCAAAAACCAAATGACACCTTTACATCCCCAGTCAGACAGCATGGTAGAGGGATTTAATTGAACCATTTTTAACCTCATGCTGGTGGTTTCCAGAAACCAAAAGGACTGGGACCAGAAATTACCCCTGTTCTTACAGGCCTATCACAGTGCTGTCCACGAGACTACCAGGTATTACCCATCCCATATACTCTTCGGTTGTGACCTTCATCTGCCTTGCGATCTGTTGCTTGATTAGCCTCTGAATGCACTTTCATTACCTGAGGATTACATTCAAGATCTCCAGGCATGGTTTGAAGCACAGTTGTGCACGAGAGTAAGTCAACTTGGCAACGAAGAAGATGAAGACCTGATACAACATGAGAGCTACAGGACATTGATTCAACACAAGTGACTATGTGTAATATGGAAAAGGTATAACATGAAAATCTAAAGAAGTGAAGCTTTGCCGGAAAAATAAAAATACATGGGCAAGTCCATTTAACATTGAGTAAATGGCTATCTTTCTAAAGTGGCAAGATATCACCAAGATAGCAATGGTTTGGCACCTAAGGTTTGTCGCCAAATTTGGCGACATTGGTTAATCTATCATCGGTTCTGTGTGCATTCAATCTATTATGAACCCATACACATACAACAATATCATTAACAAAAATGACAAAATAATTATCTAAAAGGGATGGAAAATAAAAAAGAAAATTAAACTAAAAAATTTAGTCTATATCAACAGAAAAATAGTGTCATGAAACAGAAAACTTTTTCCTATTGCATGTAATAACTTACTTTGTAATTTTGAATATCTCCTTTTTTTAAAAAGGAGATAATTTGTTCTAATCCTGTAAAACTTTGATCTAACCTGCATTACATAGTTTATGTAAGATTTCAGAAAAGACACATTCCTTTTTACCAAATAAGGTTAGTATTCAGATGGCATTAATTAGTTTTGGAAACTCTGTAATCTCAACAGAGTAAGCAATTTTCTTCTATGATTAAGAAAATCAGCAAGAAGGAATGGATTTTTTTATTGATTTAATTATTTATTAATATAATTCATTCATATGCAATACTATTATATTACTACTCGGTTTTAACAGTTTTCATTATATGGATGTGTAACCTCATTTATTTGGTAATCTATTTATTTAGTAAGCTTTAGTAATATGTAAACATGAATTTTTTAAATCTTATAAAATCTGCTTTTACATCTAAGTTTGAATAGATTCCGAACCTGAATTTCAATTCATAACAACAGCAAATAGAAAAATTAACATATTTATTAAGAGCAGAAATTGAATTGATTACAGTAGAGGTCCAGAAATCCGCAACGCTTGGGACCAGAGGTTGTGTGGATTTTAGGATTTTGTGGATTTCAGGACAGAAAAGATAATATTCAGACTAAAAGTGCAAAATAAGCTAAGGTGTATTAGATACATTTATTAAATTATTATATACATTAATACAATAATTAATTATATGCATTAAATTGTTATTACATATATAAACTGATTATATTATATAGTTCATTTACATTAGGCTTCTCTATTTTTAAATCAGCATGAATCTGCTTACCCTTTTCTCTCAGGAGTAGTCCTGAAATAGGTATCCCATCACTCCGCCGCTGCCGACCCACTCGTACAAGACAGCATCGAGGTTTGCCGATTTCGCCTCATGTAAAGATTTCCGGTTTCGGATTCCGGTGTTAGAATCACTGTTGCTGTAAAATTTCAACAGCTTTTCTTTATTGTTCCGTATATCATACACAGTCCGTGTGGCAATTCCATACGATTCTGCTATAAACCGAGCAGTAGCACCTGCCTCCATCAGAAAGTACAACAACGTGAAGCATGAACTTGAAAGAAGAGTTGAGTTAATCATCTGCCTTTTTACTTCGATGCAGATTGGAGCGGGGGGGAAACTCTTATTACGATGTCAATAATTTGGTATTCCGTTATGACTCATTATTATTTGGTAATTATGACGTCATTATCCAGTAAGTATTTTTTCTTTGATATTTCGTACTCCATGTTGCAGTTTCCGGAACCTATAAACTAAATGTTTATATTTTGAGAGGCAGCGCGGATTTCAGGTCGGCGGATTTTCGGTGTTTGACTGTATTACAAAAATCTACATTGAATGTTATACTGTGTCAACTAGAGCATGTTTTAAACATTGGAACGTTCCTAAAAAACTATTATTTGAATAATATATTTCTGACTGGGGGGACAGGGGTTGGAATTCAGTGAAATAATTTTACTACACATTTCACTAGACTGGACTTTTTGGAGAAAACTGTCTTAATTACTTTGCAATAGCAAATGTAACAAAACATTAATTTTAAGATTAAATTGTTATTAGCAATCCCATCAAGGCATCACTCTTTACTTCTTTTAGTCACTTTCAGTTTTTCTGTCCCCTTCCCCTCCAGTTTCTTCCACTGACTTGGAAGAACCCAAGCCTGATGCTTGCATAGTACAAGAGTATATTTAAAAGGTGGATACTAATAATATAACACTTTCTTTACTAGTTCTGATGGGCTTCCTAAAAAAACTTCAATAGTAATAATTTAATTTTTACATTACCAGTTAGGTGCTGTTGAATGTAATCACTCTCTCAACTTATTACACATTTTCATCTGCTGATACATATTTTGTGGCCTGTTCAAATAAAGCCTTTTTGTTTATTTTTCATTTATGTGAAAGGATATTTTCAAAAATGTGAATTAAGTAATCACTTTATTTTTCTGTAAATTGATTCAAGCATGAAAAAGAAAATCTTAGTATTTCCCTTGTATATTTTAAAGTTTCTTAAATGTATTTAAAAATGACTTTTTATTTCCTAAAAAACATAAAAAATGTGATTAATTACCAAACATGAGTTTTTATTGTCAAATAAAATTAATAATAAAATTATTTTTGCATAAAAAGGATTCCAGATCCTTAAAAAAAGGAAAGGAGAGAGAAAGAGAGATGTTAATTTTCATTAAAAAATTAAAAATGACAGACTTTTATATAAAAAAAGTGAATGCTTGAAGTTCATAATAAACTTAAATTATTTAAATAACTATGTTTTACTTGATAAATTTACTAAAACTGCTTCTTTTGATTTATCTTCAATATCAGTATTTATGACCTCATAAACCATATTTGGGAATTTGTCACTTGCACTAGCCTTACAGACATGTACAAAAATATTAAATTATATTTTCTATTTGGCAGCACCTGATAATACTTACCTCTTCGGTGACCGGGTTTTTCTGCTGCTTTTAGGGCTGGGAGTCACAAAAGTGAAAGGGGAATATAATTTCACAGGAGTCACTTGTTCATTTAGTTCCTCATACTGCTGCATTTTTGTCATGTTCCGTGCTCTTTTAGTATTTCTACGCAGCTTCTGCAATTAGAATGATTTTTAGGTCTTTAAAAATTACATTTTTTATGAAAAGCAACATCTTAGTGAACTAGATACTTTCTGATTATCATCATCCAAAAGAAAAGTCTCCAAATCACAGGCAATTTAATGAATTGAGGGGGCAAACATTTGGCTGTCTTTATGATATATAAGTATTGTTCTGTTAATAAATAACACTAAAAATAAGCATTTTATAGGAAAGAAAAGAAAGAAAAAGGGCAGCAGAGGACTTGTTAAGGTTTCTTATGCTTTCACTGAGCTTACAGTTAACCAATCTACTCTTGGACTTACAGTAACTATTTTGGTATCCAGTTGATCTTCATTGTCAATATCATGATGAATTAAGACACAATAACACGCCGAATAAATACTAATTCAGAAGTCAAACAACAAAATTTTGTAGGTATAACGCTGATTTTTGTTGTTTGACTTCTGAATTAGTATCATGATGAATATTCTCACTACACTCATCAAGAACTTTAATCAGACATAATACACAATAATGGTTTATCATTATTTCAAGACTTCAAATAAGCATACTACTCCTTAACAACCAGTCTCTATTATCTCTCTATGCTTCTTCAGAAGCTTCTCCTTAGGGCTGCCATATTTATTGGCAGCAATGTGGGCACAAAGCGAGCTACTTATGGCTATCACCACAGAGTTTTCCCCCAGTTCCTTTGATAGCAGCTCAAAGGAAGACATCAAATTATCAAACATTTCAGAGGATCCATGCTGTCAAGGTTTTCAATTTTCTTAATAAGAAAATTAGGCTATAAAACTAGAAGAGATTAAAATGTGATTCACAACAAGGCTATAATTATCACAACAAGGTGATTAACAGACAAGGTTATAATGCCCATACATAAAAATGAAATATTAATAAATATGTAACAAAGCAAATTTCAAAAAAAATTTTACATTGTAATGTAAAAAGAAAATTTTGGGGGAAGTAAACGTGTCTTCCTGATCTTGTGACCAGGGTTGTGGAGTCGGAATCGGAGTTAGGCAGATTTTTGGTAAAAGGAGTTGGAGCTGGATTCCCTAAAAACAGGTCGATTTCGAAGCAGTTTTTGTTGGACAGTTTGAATTTGAAATGAAATTAAAGTGAATTCCAAAAAATTAATGACACACCGAGTTATTATTTTTATTTATGAACTACATACATTAATAAATAGTTATTTTCTATTTTATTGACATATAAATAAATAAATATAAGGGAGGAGAATGCATCATGTGATATTTGCCATTTCTGATTCATTTAATTACTTCATTTAGGTAAGCAAAGCTGGTAAATTTAGGTAAGCAGCAATAGCAACAAGAACTCCCAAAATTGATGCATTCTTAGGAAGCGAGCAAGAAAAGGAGCAATTACTGATCCAAGCAATGCGATGGGGAAATACATATTTGATGGTATATACATATTTATTAAAATTAAGAACTTTTTTAGAAGATGTAGGTAACCCTAATGTTTCACTAACAGAAAGACTGTGGAATGATCTTGCAGAATTGAAACTATTTTTTCTATACCGTATATAGCTACAAAAAAAGCTACAGTCTGAAGAATTAACAGGAGGTGAACATGGAAGAATGTGATGTTTGTTCTTTCTGAAATGGAGGGTTTATTGCATAAGGAATCATTTCTTCAATGAAGAAAAGAGAAACTAGTTTGCTAGACGAGATCTTGCTGGGTTTAATATATGTAGAGCCAAAATACCGAATTTTGATGGATGGGAAACAAATTAAGAAGGCAAAGCTATCTATGAACTTTCATTAAGAATGAAATTGTTCTCAAAACAATCGGAGTATTCAAATCAGGACAGTCAAACTGCAGACATTGCAATCCTCTTCCAGTGATGAATTAGATTTTGAGAAATATTTTTGGATAATATTGAAAAGGCTAAGGCAAAGTGAATGAAAATAAAGAACCAAAAGCCTCTAGATATAAAAATGAAATAATACAAACAAAATTTCTACACAGCCTTTGAATAGAGAAACATGATCGCTCTTGCAAGACACTTCTTTTAGAACGTATAAAAGTCTATCTTGAAAAGTTAAAAGAAGTAGCCATAACAGTAACAGCTCTTCCTCCTACTCATATCAGTGTGGAAAGAATCTTCTCAGCTCTGAAGTTTATCAAATCGGATCTATGGCCCTCCAACAAAGGTCTTGCCGAAGAAACGCTTTTTCTTAGAAATAACTAGTGCCAGTTTTTCCATTTCATAATAAATGCTAATTAATATAAATAATTTGTTATGCCATCAATTTTTATTTCTCTGTAGCACTTATTACTTCTTTTATATAAGCTGTAACCGATGTGTACAGTCAAAAGTCTTTAATCCGGACTCGTCGGGACTTCGGCGATTCCGGATTATCAATTTTTCCGGATTATAGATCATCAGTTTAAATCTGGTAAGACGGCATGCAGAAATTATAAAATTAAAAATATGAAACCATAATTTATAAAATAATGAGCAATTATGATCTAAAGGGTATCAAAATTTACAAAAAAAGAAGCTTAATATTTATTTGTTTACTTTATTAAACATTTCTTTCAACGCGCGCATGCGTAAAGCATACCTTACGCATAGCCGAAATTAGAAAATTGCAACCAGAAAAAACTATTTGATTGTATTCGTGATATTTATAATGACGAGGAATTTGATTTAAATCATATCAAAGACGGAGTACATCGAGATTAAATACTACATTTAGTAAGGAATTATAAGCCGAATAAAATAAAAACATCTGCCCTGAAGATAACGATAGTGCTGACAAATCAACTTCCAGTTCATTGTGCGCCGCGACGTCCCCCCCCCGCCCCGCGCAGAGCAGCGTGAAATTGATAAACAGATTTCGGAACGGTTAGATAAACAAAGGATATGCCTTTATCCATTTTTGTAGCAATTCGTTTTTTGTTTGATGGACATCGAAACATACTTTCGTTTTCTAGATCCTTTGGGAGCTCCAGCATCGGAAATTCTATTTGACATAATCGAAAGTTCAAGCTTACTTTTATAAAATTGCTTTTACAGTCTGCAAAAAATAATAAGCCGGATCCAATTCGAAGATTAAGGAACAACGCAATCATCAACATTAACTGAAATAGATAATTAGATAATTTTAGCTTATACCATCCGTTATACATTAAACACGCACGCGATAACGTATTCTGCGCTTGTGCAGACGCATATGCGCAGTCGTAAATGTCTTGCGCGCCCGCGTAAAACGTGTATGCGCATGCGTCAACGCGGCGCATGCGCAGAAATATTTTAGCTTTGAGGTCCGGATTATGGGTGTCCGAATTAACGACTTTTGACTGTATATAATAACCTATGCGTATATGTTTACATATATACAAAGGAGTCTAAAATTTCAGGAGTCGAAGTTGATCATTTTCCCTGCCGACTCCACAGCTCTGTTTGTGACAGCTTGCGTCGTAGAGAGTTTGGTATCAGATTTATTCTGTTGAACTCTTTACAAGTCTCTGTTTGGTTTCAGTTTGGGCAAATCAGAGTCTAAAAACAAATAGGCTGGTTTTGCACAGTCTATAGACAGTAGATTTAAGGCCATTTGTTTCAATTGTGAAAGTTTGTCCATTCTTGTAAGGACTTAGCATGAACCTGAGTATGGATGGCACAGCAGTGGCTTTACTTGATCGATATATAAGTGTACACGTGCACACAATTTTAAGGTAGAGCTTATGTAATACTTATCTTGACAATGTGCAGAGTGCAGATGTTGCCACTAAATTTAGTTGCTGCATTCTGTGCTGGAGATTAGTGATGGATTGAGTGTCATATGGAGGTATCTTAGACAGCATTATCATATCACTAGGTAGCCTCAGAGTTGTGCTGTACACCATTTCTGCAGATCCTCCTTAATGGTTGTGCAAATATCAAGTAGCACTGGGAGCAATCCAGTCCAGTTATTGGTCTTGTAAACCTTGAGAGAGGATTTTAAATATCAATGAAATCACTAAACAGTACCATTTCACAATGGATAATAAGCTGTTGTACTTCTGTTCATACCCAAAATACGTGTAAACTCAGAAACATTATAGATCTCATTTGAGAACCTTGGTCTGTTGTTATGACTGATGGGCAGCCACAGCGAGATATCTGTGGGTTAAAAATAGGACTGCAAATAGTTTCCATTTTCATATTGGGGATAGGAATGGCTTGAGGCCATCTGGAAAATCTTCCTATGAGTCAAAAGGTACATGGATGGAGGTAACTAGCTAACAATATCCATGAGGATTTCTGAAAACCATGCATCAGGAGAAGAGAATGTACCCAATGGTGCTTTGGTATGGCTTGTTATTTGCTTATTTCTGGCAAGTTATACAGGATTTCACCCAAATTTTCATATGACATTTCATATTGGGCCATACATAATGAGAACAAACAAGTTTAGTAGTAAATGCAATTCCTAGATGTGATAGATTATGCAGATGATTAAAGATGTGTCTAAGAAAGGAATTGGCATAAAAAAGCAAGGAACATCTGTACAGATGCCACAAAGAATATTACTATCAGAGTATTGGCTTAGCTTAAATTCCAGCTCAAAGATGACGTATTGTTTTTGAGAAGGTTTTGTATCTCCGGATCATGCTGTTCAGCTTTGGAATTTTTTTTTAAATCCAAAAATAGAGATTTTGTTCTGGAATTAATTTTAATTCTCAAAAGATTGTCAGCAATGATGCTTTTAGAACCTTGCATATGTCTAATATCCTTAGAGTTCTGGGAAATAAAATTTAAATAGTGTAATTGCTGAGTTAAATATTTATGGAGGTTCTGCTTAAAAGCATATATTAACAGTTTCTGATCCGTATAAATTTAAAAATTTCTGCCCTCCGACCCATGTCGGAATTTCTCAGTTGTAAAATAAATTTAAAATAATTTCTTGTTATATGTGAGCCATTTCTGTTGACTTTCATAGAGAAAAATGATATAGGTTCCCATGTTTCTTGAGACAACTGC